TAATAATAGCCTTTCAGGATTTTTCTAATCTTGGCTAGTATGGAGATACAAAATCAAGCACTGGAAAATAGCTGTCAGACACCCCTCTGTCTTCTAAAATATAATAGATGGTTTAAAAATGCAGTGTTTGAAGAAAATAATAAAACAATGTGTAAACTGCCCTGATGCATCTCAGTAATCCAGGTAAAAAAATCAAAAGGAAAAAAAATTGTATAGGTCTTCTGGACGGGTTCTTCTCTAATGAAACGTTTTGTCTCTCCTCCAAGAGACTTCTTCAGTCTGAGAGTTTCAGGCAAAATTCAGGCTTTTAAGCACTGCCTCCATGTGACTGAAAGCCTGAATTTTGCCTGAAACTCTCAGACTGAAGAAGTCTCTTGGAGGAGAGACAAAACGTTTCATTAGAGAAGAACCCGTCCAGAAGACATATACAATTTTTTTCTTTTTGATTTTTTACCTGGATTACTGAGATGCATCAGGACATGTAAAATAGATGTAAATGTGTGTGAGATTCTCCTCAGATTGTCCTCAGAAATGATTTTTAGATGCAGAAAAAATATACATTAAATGCAGAATGAGTGACAAATTTGTCTATATAAGTAGTGGGGTGTATAAATGTGTTTGCCACTCACAAAGGTGTGTGTGTGTTGTGTGTGCGAGCATGTGCTGTTATTTTCAGCGGCGCATGAGGCTGAGAAATATTTCCACCTTTACACGTCTTTAATAAATGACTGTAAACACAGAGAAACTTAAGAATTTTGTAGAATTTAGAAAAATATTTATTAAGTTGATGTGAAGAAATGCGCATTTCCTACTCTTGTACAAAAATAGAACAACACGCCCGTCCTCCTCTGCCTCATTTCGTAAAAAACTGACATGCGGGGGGTGCCCGATGCATCAAAGCTGGACACAAAAGACCACCTGACCAAGCGTCAATATGACGCGGGGGGAGTGAGAATGCGGTGGACTCGCAGCGCTGCGAGTTTCTGCCGCGGTGTGGGAACAGCTGATTGATCCATATGCACAACTTTACGCAGCAATAAATCTATTGTGGAGCTGAGGAATCATCACAGATTTTATTCTCCTCAGCTGTGTGTGCGCTCCGCAGGCCATGCGCCCTGCATGTGTTTTCAACTACAACAACATGAAAAGTTTACAGACTGGACTGAAGTTCTTCGATCATTTTTTAGACTGATCTATTTTCTTGTCTGAGGTTAAATGATTTTCAGTCCCGAGGTTCAGTTTCATGATCGTTCGAGTTTAAACAATAAAAACTCAAACTAAAATAAAAATCTGACAGCGTGTTCAGACTCTCCTTACATCCAGAAAACACAACAGACTCATATTTCTGTGGATTCAGGTCAGATTTGTGACTTTGTGGGTTAAAACTGTCGACTGAAAAACTTTGCGTGGCTGCCGCACATTCTCACGGCAGGTGAAAAGTGTGCGTAAATATACGAACGCTTTCACGCAAACGTTGGTTTTAATACATCCCATCGTGGGCGTAGAACCTGGCGCACGTAACCTTTTTGTACGTACGCACCGTTTATACATGAGGCCCCAGATCACAGCTTGAGTTTTTATATAATCATACATTTTCTCTTAATTAAAATAAGAAAAAAAAATATTTCAATCTCCAACCTGAACAAACTCTGCAGAGGTTTGTAGTAAATACTATAAATAAATACTACTAAATACTACATTGCAGTACTTAAGTAATTTTATTGAGGATTTGTAATCTTGCCAAGTATTTTTTAAACTGTTACTTTTACTTTTATTTATTGTATTAAAACCTAAAAAAGATACTTTTACTTCTTTACATTAAAATATAACAACTAGTTACTTGTTAAAAGATTAAATCTGTCTGAACTCATCATGAACAGACTTGTTTCTGCAAACAATGAAGTGTTGAATTTACTCTGCTAAATCAGGTCAGCTGGTTCCACTAAACCAGGGGTCTGCAACCTGCGGCTCTGGGGCCACATGTGACTCTTTGGTCCCTCTGCAGTGGCTCTTTAAAAATGTGACAAACATAACAGAATAAATAGGTTTTATTTTTAGTTTTTATACCCACAACAGAAATCTATTTGTATGCAAATATGTGATCAATACTACTCATAAAATAAGTAAAACATGTTAGCTCATGCTAGCTAAAATAATACAACTTATTTTTCTCAAATCCATCAGAAATACCTTTAAAGAATTTGAAGACTGCATAATAAGAATTAGAAGGAAAAAAATGCCTGAATAGTTCAGTTGTATTAGTTTTTATGAAATTCGGTATAAGCAATATACAGTATTTTTCTTGTTTACATGAATATGATCTTTATATTTGTCTTGATGTGTATAATAAGAATTTGAAGACTGCATAATAAGAATTAGAAGGAAAAAAATGCCTGAATAGTTCAGTTGTATTAGTTTTTATGAAATTCGGTATAAGCAATAT